GCAGAATATCTAATCAACAATAATCATCAAGGATTTACATAAGTATCTAAGGAATTAAGTGAACTAAGGTGGGGATGATGCTTCAGTTACCATTATCTAGATTAACTGGGTGGTGCACAGCCCTGACCTTTGTTAGGGCTTCAAAGGTTACTAGCTTTTGGGGGTCTCCTCTATGCTCAGCTAGTGAAGACAATAAATAGACTCCGGCATCGTGGGCCTAGCAAGTCCCAAATTTATTGCCAACAGTCTTAGTCTAAGTTCTTCATAAGTAGTACATGGTATTTCTGTAACACTAGGGGGTTTTACTGATTTATTCCCTTCCTTAGTCCCATTAATCCCTAACTCCAGGAATACATCCCCACCTGGGGAAACAACCTTTCTCAGGGAGGTGGCCTTGGTTAGAACACATAGCGCTAAGAAGGGGAGCAAACATACTAAGAACAGTATGCCATATACGCCAGGTCCCTTGGAACATATGCTATGCGGATGTTTCTTCCCTGCAGCGACTGTGTCAAGCAGCCAGGATGGACCAGCTTCCGGCTCAGGTGCCCAGCCCAGAGCCATTGCTCAAGGAATGTTACTTGTTTTCCTTTTACATCCTTTATCCCCATTGATCCCTACTACAGTCCCGTGAGGGCTGAGTATCAATGTACCCATTTTACAGAGGAGGCAGCGCCGTTCAGGCTGATTATAGCCTCCACCTTCTCATCCTCAAGGAGCAAACTGGAGGTCCACATGCTGGATTGGGCCAAGAGCTTTGTAAGCCCCAGACAACTAGGAAAGACAGCTTTCCCGGTTGGCTCAAATATTCAGATCTTGCAACACTAGGCTCCCCACCTATGAAGAGGAATAGCTCGGACAGAGTCTGAGCTCCCCAGCGTACCCCACCCCCATCACTCCCTCTTGTCTCACCCGTGGGTGCTCACTCCTGTCCATTGCCTGTTGGGCTCCTGTAGTCTTTGAGCCGGTGTTTCTCATCTACATGGGAAGGAAAGGGGGTCAAAGAGAAAGCCCGCCTGCCCCCCAACCCCCGCCCCCCGAGCCACGATGAGCGTGCTGTCTGACATACCTCCCCAGCTGCCATCACACGGCCCTGACCTTTAAAATAGAGAAAGAAACCCTAAATGGCACAGCTGGTTCTGAGCTTGGACTCAAGTCCAAGGTAAACGCCTCCAAAGTCCAGGAAAGGAACTGAAGCCGAAGCCCTGTGTGCAGCCTGGAGCCGGACTCCTGAGGGGGATGGGGACGTGCAGGGCCCCTACCCTCTGCTCGGAGTTCCAGGAGAAGGGGGTGCAGGGTGAGGAGCTGAGAGCCGGGGTATCCCAGTCATGGAGGAAGTGTCACAGGAGGAAGATGGGGAGGTGGGCTTAGGGACTGGGCTTAGGGTCAGGGTGTAAGGAATGGCAGCTGTCATAACAGTTAGAGACCTGAGAGTTTATCCAGTTCAACCCCTCCCAGCCGGACCCAACACACACACACACACACACACACACACACACACACACACACACGCTCCAGCCCAGAGAGAAAAGACTGGAAAGACTGGCCAGATTGTACTTTCTCAACTTTTTATATCTTTGGTATATTCCTCTGGGATTCACTTTTTTGGTGTAAGGAGTGAGGGAGGGATTGTAACTAGGCTTTTTTCTAAACAGCTGTCAGGTATTTATGCGCTAACCCTTTCGCCACGAAGAGCCGCTCGGATCACACAGCGTGTGTCTGAGAACCCATCTTCAGGCCTCCAGCTCACGGTGACTCCTTGGAACTGGCTGACCCGGGTCCGCGGGACCTCCCCCGGGTCACAGCTCTGATGGGGCCACTTCCAGCTCCCAGGGCAGAGCTCCACTCAGGTTCGTCCTGAGGACGCACCGGGCCAGTTACGGGAGGCTGCTCTCTCCCGGCGGCTCCCCTCTGCACCTGCTCCTTCGCCCTTTCCAACCCGCCTCCTCCCATGGGCCCAGGCCCCTCCTCACACCAGGCCTGCAGGTGGCTTGGCTGCCTCTGAGTCAGGTGCCTACTCCAGGCCAAGAAGACGGCACAGGTAGCATGACAGGGCTGCGGAGTGACGGCTCTGCAGGTAAGGGGAGCCATGACTATTCTAAAGTCGAAGGGTAGTGATGGAGCAGACCTGGAAGGCAGAGGCGGGGCTGCCCCACGGGCACCTGTCACGTCATAGACTGCGGAGTCAGTCGCCTGTGTCTCTGACATTTCTTTGGCAGCGGAAGGCAGTGAGCTGTCTTGTTCTAAGGGCACCAGCACATATGGCAGCCTTCCAACAGGTGGAAGTGAAATGTCGGAGGAAGGGGTGCCTGCCCGGTTTGCACAAAGGCCTGTGTGAAGGAGGCGGTTGGAGGGCTTGGAGGAGGGAGAAGGAAGAGCAACGGGTGATTTCTGCGTTGCCAGGTCAGGGTCCGGGCTGCGTGGCGACCCCAGGAACTGAGACGGGATGTGTTCCCAGAGGACGCGCGGGGCTGGGGGGCCCTACGTGTGGTTTACATGACGAGTTCTGATGTCTGTACCTGTTCTTCGTCCTTGGAGTCTTAGAACTTGACCCCCGGGTGCCCTCCTGCTGGGTTGCTGGCCAAACAGCCTTCTCTTCGCTGGGGCTCTTGGCAATCCACGGGCCACACACAGGCAGGGAACGGGAGGAGCCCTCTCCAAACACAGTTCCCCAGGGGGCAGGCCTCCGTCCTCGGGGAGGTGGAGGGTGAGTGAACCTGGCGGAGGAGGGAGCTGCCCTGGTCGGCCAGGGTGCCGGGCTCTTTGGGGTCAACATCTACTAAAACCACTAACAACACAAGTTAGAGGCCTGGGGCTGGGCCGCCCAGGGAAGGTGAACTGTGTGCACATCCTGTCAGCACAATGCAGCAGGATCCGGGGAGCACTCCATGGGCAGAGTGCTGGGGACATAAAAGTGGGGAACACGCTGTAGACAAGACCGATGCCCGGGAGGTGCCTGCTGTCAGCGTTCATCCCAAAGCGGCACCAGTTCCTGTGAAAGTTCTGGAACCTTCGCTCCCTCGACCTTAAGAGCGAAAACAGGACGTGCCCCTCTCCTCTGCACCTTCAACACTTTGACGTGCCCCTGGCGTTGCCTTTGCGTTTTCTGTTGCTTCCCAGGCTTGCGTGTTTTGTAATTATACTTTCCCATGATTCTAACCTTTACACATTTGCCTGTCCGTTTTGCAGCAGCATCTGTACAAGCTGCCTGGAACCCAGTGTGGCCTCCAGTGAGAAGACGGGAAGAGGAAGGAAAACAACAGGGAAGCGTGGCCGCTGCAGCGACGTGCCTCGCCCTCCCACTAGGGGGCAGTGCAGCGCCGTCAGAAGGGCGGTGGGGACCCTGGTCCTAAATCCTGCCTGGGAGCTGTGTGCCTTGGAGCAATTCTACCTTAATCTCCCTAAATCCTAGCCTCACCACCTCCCATCGCCCAGGCTGGAGAGCAGGGGGACGCCCCCAATACCATTAAATTCCACAAGAGGAAAGCTGACCTCCAATGACCACGATCCTCTATCCCACAGGATTAGATGAGGTCATTGTACAAAGTGCCTGGCATGTCTACAGTAGATGCTCAACAGCTGGGCACTCCTCCTCCTGAGGTTCTCAGCCTGGGTGACGCTGCACCCCAAGGGACAATTATTTAGTAATGTCTGGAGACATGGTTGGTGCCACACTTGGGGGATTGGCTGCTACTGGTGTCCAGTGGGTAGGGGCCGGGGATGCTGTTAACCACCCTCTAACGGACAGCCCAACACGAAGAATGACCCGGCCACAATGTCAGCAGCGCTGAGGTCGGGAACCCCAGCTACTCCCAGTCAGCTTTGAGCTCCTGGAGGGCAGAAAATGTCATGCCCATTTCTTCATCTTCCTCGGGGCCTGCTGTCCAACAGTTGGTAATTGAGTGTAGGATTGAACTGAAAGACAAACAGTGGCAAAAGGGGTGGCGCAGATATGGTGGGTGGGACCAGTGGGTGGCCGGACAAAAGGCCTGATTGTCACAGAGCGGGGTCACGTGCCTAACTGCATGGGCACGGGGCTTCCAGAGAGATGAACTCGGTTTGCAATAACAAAACTGCTTCCTAAGCGTCCTAACCGGATCGCTTTAAACGCTAGCCGTCAAGGGGACCTTTGTAAAATCGAGCAACCCCCTCCGGAGCCTGTGCCCCAGGACGTGGTCACGGTGAACTGGGCCCGAATTGGGCAATTCCCTGTCTCCTAAAATGTCAAGGATGTCCCTCCCATCACCAACCCCATGCCAAGGGCTTGGCACCTTGTGAGTGCTCAGGCGGCACTGGCCCCTGCTCTGGCCACCAACACTGTGGTCACTCCTTCCCGTCTCCGGCCTCGGTCTCCCCACCTAACACGGAGGCTGCACAGCCAGCCCACGGGGGACAAAGGCAGAGTTCCCAGTGTCCATTCCCACCATCTCTGAGACTCTCCTTAGAGAACGCCCAGGGGCCCTCCCCCAGGACAGTGCCCGTGTCCACAGGCCCCAGAGGAAGCCCCCACACCCCAGGCTCCGGGCGCCACCACCGCTCCGGTCCCGTCAGCTCCACAGCAGAGAGATGGCTGGTCCTGGAGGCTGCCGTCCTCTCCTGCCTGAGGGAGGATGACAGGTCCAGCCCTGTCCGGCCATCCAGGGGCTGTGTCTAGTGGGAAGAGGCCACAACATCCTTAGGACCCACAGGCACAGGGAGGAAACTACGGAGGTGGACGCTTTGGTCTCGATGCCCCAGGAGCACAGCTGTGGGAGGACCGCTGCCCTCTCGGTGGAGGCACCCCAGTCTTCATCCCGACCCCCCAGAAGTCCCAGGCCCGCTTCTCCTTCCTTCCGCCCAGAGCCTCCCCTTTCTGTTTATCTCCATCGGTGGGAGGGAAGGCTGCCCCCTGGTGCTGGTGGAGGTAACTGCACCTGGTCCTGGGGAGGCCCTGACCCCACAGCTGCAGTGGCCTCCCTGTCCCGGCGCGCCCCCCAAACCAGCCACACGTGCACACTCCGCAGGCTTTGTAGGTGTTTTTATTATTAATATTATCTTCAACATCCCTTTAAGGGTGAAATGAAATCCAACCATTTACAGAGAAAATGATTTCAGAATGTACATATTGATTTTCCCTTACAAAAAAAATAATGGTGTCCTTAAATTATACCTTTCCTAGGGCCCTGCTACCTGCTTGGGCAAGTCCTGTCTCCCCATGCCAATTGTCACCTGTGTCCCCAAAGCTCCCCGCACCTGTCCTTGGGAACGGACATGAGCTGGGGTGGGCTGGGCCTCCTGGAGTCATAGGGCAGGTGTTTCCAGGGAAGGCTGTCTGGATATGCTGACAGGGCCAGTGGTGCACCAGTGTTCACATTCACAGTTCGGTTTCCCTTCACATTGGGGGAATGGCCCAGGGCACCCCTGACCCCCCAAATTCCCAGTGTATGATGTGATTATATGCAGAACTCTTCAACCCCATGCTCCGGCCCCCACCCCTCTGACAGCTGCCATCTCCACCCAATGGCCAGGCCTCCACTTGCCAGGGTCTACGGAAAGGCAGGGCTTGGCTGGTCTGAGCTATGTCTTCTCCCCCTGCCCCTGAGCTGGTGAGGGGAGGCCAGCCTGGGAAGGGGCATCCGCAGTAGCAGGAGGGAGCCAGGGCCGTGGGGTGAGGAAGCTGGCGAGGAGGGAGGTTTCTGGGCTGGGGCTCAGGCATGACTCAGGAGCCCTGAGACGGCCTGTCCAGGGGTGAGCAGTGGCTGCTGACTTCTTGAGCCACCTCTCAGCCCCACGCGGGATCAGAGAGGGGGCTGCTATAACTCCGAGGGAGGAGGGAGGAAATAGAGCCCCCTCAGCCTTCTTCATTCCTGCCCACCAGAGGCTGCCCCCAGACCACACCCACACCGGGCACTTCCCCAGACAGAGCTGTGGCAAAGGGGGCACCCTCCTCCCTGGCCCATCAGGAGACAGCCAGCCAAAGTCCCTGCTGGAGGCCAGAGGGGACTGGGGGGAAAGATGTGGTTGGGGCCAAGAGCGGCTGGAGGTAGTGGGCGCTCAGCTGCACAGCCCTCAGGTCAGGAGGATTCTCATCTCTTGGACTGAAAGACAGACAGACAGACGGACCCTGCATCCCCTTCAGCCTTGGTTTCCAGGCTCCCCACAGGCTTTCTGCCTCAGTCATTTTGGGGAGCTGCAGGAGGTATGGCCACAGGCTCTAGATCCCGGGAAGCGCCTGGGCCCTGCTCCCACATCCACACACAAGCATCTATGTACAGGGACACACCGACACAGACACATACAAGTACACACAGCATGCACCCATGCCCATAAATACACACACGCGCACCAACATGTACCGTTCCACAGGCAGCCTCTGCCTCCTGGCATCCCTGGTGAGCATCCAACGGGGCCTTGGAGAGGGGTCTCCCCTCCTCCCCATGACGGCAGGCTCTCACTGCACCCCGGCCCTGCGCTGGCAGTGAGGGGGGCAGGAGCAGGTTGTTCCAGGAGCTCCAATGTGAGAGGAGGATCTTATGACTCCGACAGTCATTTCTACCCTCGCTTTCCCTCCCCCTGTGCCAGAGACGCTCCTGGTCCCTGTATCCACCCTCCCCACCTTCCTGTAAGAAGAGAACTAGGCTGAGGCTGGGCACATGGAGGCCCAGCTTCCCTTGCAGCTACTGCGGTCATGTGACTAAGTCCTGACCAGCATGCTGCGGTCAGCAGCAGCTTTGCCATCTCTGGCTCATGCCGTTGACAGGAAAGGGTGTGTGTTTCCGTGCTTCCCTCTGCTCCCCCCGGGCTCGGATGCACGTGATGGTGGAACTGGAGCAACCACTCTGTCCAGAGCTGGAAGGTGTGTCTGAGGAAGCAGAGCTGCCCTACTCGATCCAGACCATCTCCCTCCAGACAGTTACATTAGACACAAGCTTCTGTCTTGCTGAAACCACTGTATTTCGGGGTCTTTCCTTTACAGCAGCTTAGAATCTACTTTAATGAATACATCTCCTGCCCCGGTGGGGCACACTAAGAGGCAGGAGATGGCATAGAACTGGTCGTAATGGCCCTCTGGGGCCCAGGGCAGCCTCGGGGCTCTTTTCTGGCCCCTAGCCAACACCAAGAAGGGGTACAAGGGTAACTCCACCTGAGACAGTGGAGAGCTGGGGCTGGGGATTCCGGCAGGAAGGGGTGTGGGGCACCCCTATGTCTGACCTACTCGGCTGGCTGATGTCCCATCCCACCCTGAGTATTGGACTCCTGGCCTTGGGAGGACCAAGTGGGAGCCCACTAGACGGAAAGATAAAAAGTAAGAAGGGACATCAACGCCAGGTTCAGAACTGAAAGGACTCCCCTGGCTTCCCCAGGCCCCCGCCTATGTCAGCTCAGGAGCCTCTGGGGCCCTGAGGGGAGGCGGCTAGAGGTCCCCGGCTCCTGGCCCAGCACTTCGGAGGACCCTGGGCCACCTCTCAGCTGGATGCTGTTCTCCACACCCTCCTTTCCTGGCGTCCCCGCTTCCGCCTGGACCCAAATGCAACTATTTACAGAGCTGGAGACCTCCCGGCATGCCTTTCACACAGCAGCTCCCGCGGGCCACCAGGAGCTCCTGCGGCTCCTTCCCACCCGCCCCGGCCACCCAGTTACCATCCTGCACCCTCCGCGGCACCTCCTGGCACAGCTCGCTTGGAGGGCGGGAGGGTCAGGGTCCCCTCTCACCATGAGGAGTGACGGTTTTTGAGGTCACAGGCCTGACCCCTGAGCCACCAGGGCTTGGACAGGGAAGAGTCTCCCACGCATCCACTTCTGGTCCCCTCTCTCAAGACCCCCGAGGTCAGGAGGCAGGAAGATGACAGGAGGGCAGTCGCCCCCCTGCCCTGCCACTGGCCCTGAACACCGTGCCACCTTAGCCTTCCACCGCGTCCGACTTAGCCCTGGCGGGGGGCCTTCCCTCAGAGCCCCTGCCCCGCGGCCCCCCGGCGGCCGTGCTCCTGGGCCCCTGGTAGGGGTTGTCCAGCAGATAGCGGAACCGGTGGTAGTTCTGCAGCAGGTACTTCGGGGCGTACATGTGCTCGCCGGGGTCGGCCGGCGGGTACTCCTGCTGCGTGCCGTCGAACCAGCCCCCGGTGCGGATCAGGCTCCGGATGTAATTGAGGTCCCGCTTGTCCTCGTAGTCCCCCCAGCGCGGGAAGTCCCCGTTCTGGGCCGACACGAGCTTGAAGTAGATGCCCTCGGGGGTGAAGCACCAGGAGCAGTGCCAGCCGGCGAAGTGCAGGGGGCTGCCCAGCGACCACTGCACCAGGATGTGCCCCGTGCGGTTCTCGTACTGCCGGAAGGCGGGCATCGTGTAGTACTGGCGGCGGCGCAGGCGGATGCCGTCCAGCCCGTACACGGAGCGCAGCATGTCCACCGTGCAGCCCGACACCACCTCCAGGGTGCCCGGCTGCTTCCAGAAGAAGCCGTAGAGGGACTTGCGCATGTGGAAGGCGAAGGGCTCGGTCCAGCCGTCGTAGAGCTTGAGGAAGAGCACGCCGTCGCGCGCGGGGATCTCGTCCGCGTCGTCGATGATGAACACGTCGTCGGGCCGCAGGTTGCGCAGCCGCGCCAGGCCGTCCTGGGTGAGGAAGGTGCGCAGGTAGTCGTCGGCGATCCAGCCGTCCTGCCGCCCGCCCGGCGGGAAGTGGTCCAGGAAGACGTAGAGCACCTTGTGCCGGATGTACTCGAACGTGCCGTTGGTCAGCATCTCCCGGAACTTGAGCGGCCGCGGCTCCCCGTAGGCCGTGAAGTTGGACTCGCACACCACGAAGGCGTCCACCACGTCGCCCAGCTCGTGGAAGCGCACGTCCAGCAGGTCGAACTCGTGGTTGACGTTGATGGCGTTGATGACGCGCCGCGGCACCTCCCTGGGCACCAGGCGCTCCTTGGTGGGCAGGTTGGAGTACTG